TCATCTTGTAACAGTGTTACATGTTTTTTACATATGTATATATCCATAGTTATATATCTAATGATGACTGCTTAGCAGTTTATGTGCACTGTGCTGACTTCCTTCTGGATAGATTTTGGTAGTATTATCCTTACCAGGATAAATTCTATAGCCTGTAGTAAGAGGGAGTCTGGAACACTATGTAGCACTTATGTTTGTTACTAAGAATATCGATGGGTTTAGTGCTGGTGGAGTCTGAAGCGCTTTAGTGGCCAGTAATCTCTGATAGTTTTAGTTTTAAGTACTTTGGAAAAACATCAAGCATAGGTAGTAGGTTGTACTAAGTTATGTCTAATTCATCATAAACCAAACATAAATGTATGATAATTTTAAAAACTATTGACAACATGGGAGAGATTTGAGTGATTTGTAGAAGTTCTCAGAAAAATGGGCCTAAGGCTGTAAACAGTTAGAAAAGACCCCCCCAGCCCAGCACATTAGGGCTGTCCATAGACATCACCTGTGCTGCACTCTGAGCAGAGTGCAAAAGACAACCTTTCCTATTGTTCCTGACAGTGGCTGTAACCTTTGTTTGCAGAATTTCCTTTTATTTTTGTTGAGGAAGTTCAGCTGGGCTGTGTTGGTGGCGAGGCGAGGGGGGCACTGAGGTTAATCACCCCACTTAGTGTTGGAAGGCTGGCTGGGAGATTGGAGCTTAAAGGACAATCATAATGGGAGAGATAAAAGCAGGTCTTGGATAAAATACAAGTCTCCCTATCTCAAAGGAGGGAATGCTTTATAGAAACGGGGTGATAACACTTATGTTTGTAGTACTTTCTGTGTTTATATTTTATCTAGTACTCCCCAGGGAAACAAAACTTAAAAGCCTGTTCTCTTTCCCTTTAGTTGCCGTTCTACACTGTAGTCCCTACTTTCGGGCATTTCAGCCAGTTGGGACCACATTTTAGAAGATATTTGAAGTAATGGCAAAGAGTCATTATTGAGTTTCTGTCTGTTTTCTGGAACAATTATGCCTCAACAGAGGAGAGGTCTCTGCTGAGGGGGAAGCAGGAGGAAGTTGCATTTCCTTGTAGGGAGCAGCTACAAATCAGACAGGGCTCCAGCACGTCTGCTCTGCTTGCCCAAGGGGCTGTGATAGAGAGTGTGACAGAGGAGCACTAAATGAACGTCTAGGAAGCCAGGTGGAGTCAGTTCTGCTGTTAATGAAATGATTAAAAAAAGCTTTGCAAAAGAACAGCTCAGAATGCAAGAGTTCACAGTTTAACTTGGCCTTCATCTTTGAAGAGGCCCTGTTATGTCAAAATCTGACTCCAAATGTATGTGCTTGAGGGAGTTGAATACAGTGGAGCAACTTGAGAGGAAGAAGTGGTACAAGAGGTAGAAATATCTTCTTGAAAGTTTTTTGATGGTTTTCTTTTCCCCCCTGTTTGCAAGGAAGCCTTAGTCTGATTCTTTGCAATTCAAATGCAGAGTTTTCTAATGCTAGTCTGCAAGGTGCAGGAAACAAAGGAAACTGGCAAAAATGAAAGTGAAACATTCTCATTTCTTCATTTTGTGAGCCTAAAATGAATTCTAACCAAAGCTGATTTAAACATTTTTAATTTGGTTGCTGTAGGTATGTATAAATTTTTATACTTTTCTGGAGTTTAAGGTCAGATGGTATCTTGCCTGACCTCAAGCTGTTGTATTTCAGCCAGATTATTTTTCTAAAAAGAGCCAAGAGCTAGATTACAGGGGAATAATTGGCACTGTACACTCAGAAAACAGGGGAAACTGAGTCCCATGTAACACTGGAATATTGAACTATTGAAATATGCTGAACTGGTTTCAACAGGTTAATCATACCCCATTTTGCAGACACAGGAGAAATGCTCTGGTTTTGTTGCCAGCCTGGCTGGGAGAAAATTCTGCTTTGATTCCAGGTCTGGCAATTTGGTATGAGCCTGAGCTTGTGAATAAGACATGCCATCCAGGTTTCTGCAAAGATGCCACCTCAGCACTGATTCACTCCACTCCAGTGTTTTGTTTCCAACTTTTTTTTTTTCAGAGGCACTCCTTTCCCCATTTCCCTCTCTCCCTCTGTCATATCTAGATGGCTGATATCTGACAGAGGATGATCTTTTTGTGTCTGTCCTGGGTTCAGGAGAGGTCTCTTTTTGTGTCTCATACTGAGTTTTATTAGTGGGTTTATTTTACAGTTCATTGTGAGTCGGTAATTTGGTTACTATTGAATATGTTGCAGCAGTTAACATTATTTTTTGTTTGCTAAATCATTTCAGTATTAAAGAGGAAAAGGAAGGAAAAAGAAATCCAAAAGTTCAACAACATCATTACTGCACTTGCATTTCAGATTCTGTATTTCATTGTGGAACTCCTAACTTTTATTTCATACAGAGTACTCTTGTCTTATGAAATGTCATGACCTCTCTTAATTCATATTTCTTAGGAATAAAGACTGTATCTGCTTTTTAACGTTATCTACTTACATTTGATTACATTTTTGGTATGTAACACTATCACAGTTCTCAAATCATTAGCTGGGTTCTAGTTTTTACTAGCAGTTTCTTTAGTTACTTTTCCCCATCACATTTGTACATTTGATTAAAGATTATATATTCTCTTTGAATATATAATTGTGTATTTAATTGAATGGATAAGATAAAATAATTTTGAAGATTTTTTAAAAACCTACTTTCAAAATTTGACTCTAACAACCTGACACATAAAAAACCAAAATGCAGCCCCACTTCTCCTCCAATGCCGGACTTTCACGGCAGCTTTAATCTGAAAGCGGTGCCAGCAGGACTTGTCCGCATCCTACGAGTTGTTTGTTACTGCCAGGCGTGCTGCTGCTCCTCCTGGCCGGTGCCAGCTTTGTGCTCGGCGGGGTCGGTGTTCTGTGGGATCGGTGTTCTGTGGGATCGGTGTTCTGTGGGATCGGTGTTCTGTGGGATCGGTGTTCCGTGTTCCTCCCGGCGCTGCCCGCGGGAGGGAGCGGCCGGGCAGGGCGGTGTTGGCTCCGCCTGGGCCGGGGCTGCCCCCGCTGCTTCCCCTCCACGGGAATTGCTGTGTCCTTGTGGTTCGGGTTCGTTAGGTGCCTTGGGGAGGTTTTCTCCCCTCTTCAGGTTGAGCAAGTAAAGCATGATTAGTTTAGAATTTGAAAGATCATGTTGCCATTTCTCTTCTGGTTAGGGGAAATGAAAAACCAAAGCCGCCGTGGAGCCAAAGCCAGTGACAGAGCTGTAACCGCTCACCTTTGCACTGGTGCTCAGGGACTGGAGGAACCTGAATTCAGCTGACCTGGGGGAGACCCTGGGCTCTCCTTACCACCCTGAGGCTTCAGCAGAGCTGGTACAGCTGGGCAGGAGTTCTGCTGCTTTTTGGTTAGAATTGCTATGGGAAGGACTGGCTACAATCCAAAGGCAAATATTATTTAATCTTTACGACTTTTGATCTAGAAGTAAGAACCAGGTGCAATCGGTATTTAATAGAAAATAGTTGCAATATTAACTGAATGCATTTGTGAGATAAAATACTTAGCCATTGGAACAAATCTAGGAATAGAGATTTTTTTCTTCTTCAGTTTTTATATTTTACTAAAGAAGGTGATGCTAACACCGTCTTCAGGAAAATTCTTGTGGGTTTTGTTTGTTTCTTTGATTTTTCACCTTTAAAAGATATGTATTTTCAATTATATCAATAGAGACTCAAGATAACACTTTTTAGTACATGCTTTGTGTCCTGAAGTATTTTCTGATTTGTATCTCATTAAAATGAGATAGTAACTGTATTATATAGCCTGAAAACAATTACTTCATACTGATAATATTCAGAAAGGTGTCTTTGGCTGTTTTTTTAAGCAGACATTTTAATTTGATCCTTCATTCTGGTTCTTGTTTTTAAAGTACAGAAGTATGCTGTGATACTTTTAATAGCTGTAAGTCATAGACTTTTCTATTATTTATTTTCTTCACTAAATGATAAGTGATGGGTTCTCTAAAACCCAGAAATTTCCATGGGTCATGCATTTACCTAGCAAATGTGCAGCTGGACAGGAAAGAGAGAAGCTGCACTCCATGTTTTGTTGTAGTTTTACAGAAATAATTTTCTTCTTTGTCTAATGCTTCCTTCTCTTAGTTTTCAATTGCTGTCTAAATGTTGTTACAAGAAAAAAAAGATCAAAGTCTTTGTTGCAGATTCTTTCCTTCCTTTTCTGTATTAGTAAGACTAATTCCTTACGAACAGCCCACTTGTGCTGAACCTCCTCCCACTGGAAACACAACCTTTGAATTGTCTCCAACATAAATCTCAGATGATCAGATACCACCTAAAGGCTTGAGGTTTAGATGAGGAAAGTTAATCTGCAGCTAAACAAAATATTTACTATTTGTGAGGGGTTTTTTAAAAGCAACTTACTTAATTGCTGGCAGTTAATTTTTATGAGAATAGCAGGTGCAGGTGATGGGTCAGGTTTATTATTAATACTTTGAGCTATATCTCTAAATGCTTTTTAAAATCAGTTAATAAAATGGAGCTTGCTTGCTGGAAACTGAATTAGTTTCCTCTAGTGGCTAATTTGAGCTGTGTGTTTATTGAGTGGTACTTTCTAGATGTGTTAATTTTTTTCTTTTTTTTTCCCAGTGTAGTTGCAGACATCTTGGTTCTTGTTTTTGTTCAGAAAGCCAGAAATAGGAAGGAAAGAAAAAAGCAAGCTGTTGGCAGGTTTATCACTGAGTGTTTTTTGGCATGTTCTGCCATTTTTTTGTCTCTTCACAGCACTCGTCTTTTAAATACAAATCAAAATCATCAAAATTTTCATGAGTTTTACTTTAATACTGGAATGCATTGTGAAAATGTACTTATGCCTGTGGGGGGGAATATGCTTCCTATAATAATTTGTATTAACACCTTCCTTTAGAGAAGTTTATTTAATGTGCTGTTTACATAGAGATTTAGTCTTTTTCCTTAATTTTAAAAATGCCTTATCATTATTTCTTCAGTAGACAATCAGCTACGATCCTTGCCTGCACAGAGGATTTAAAATCAACGGCAAATTGCTGAAGAATTGCACTTCAAGTGGTCTCGAGACAGGAGAAGCAGGTCTTCACTATAATGGAAGAGGCCAAGAGCTCAAAGAATGGAAATCATGACCCAAGGAAGTCTGTCCGTCTTGTCTGTGAGGAAGGCAAAACAGTCAAAGTTACAATTAATCAAAATTATAAATATAATAGAAATGACAAATCTGTGAAGGATGTCGGGAGAAGTTCTCCAAGTGGGAATAGCAGCAGAAAAAGTAAACAAAATGATGTTTGTTCTGAAAAACAAGGAGAAAATAAATCATGTAAAGTAAATAGTTGTATTCCTGGAACTAAAGATTTGGGATCAAGCGTTCAGGATCGAAGTCATGGAAAAGCAAAAAAGTTTTCTAATTTATCATCAGCAATGGAAAACCTGAAACAGACAAAATCCCAGCCAGTGGGAGAAAATGCTCCAGGCTCCCATCTTTCAGGGAATGGGGTCAGTATGGAAAGCTTAACAGCTACTCAGAAAGGGAAACTGGTGCTGGAAAATCCAGTGGGAGTTCATACTTTGAAGACTAGTGTTGATCAGGCTGGTGATCCTGGTAAGACTGCTGCAGATCAGAGAAAAATGGAACATAAGCCTGATGACTTCAGTGAGTATTAGTTAACACTGCCTTATTCCATTTTCTTCTGGTGCAATTGCTGACAGTCTGAAATGGGCTTTGAAATGTTTCTGTTGGTGTTATTTTTTCACATGTACGAAGTTGCTGGTTGCATTTAGAGAGAACATGATGTTCATACAAGCATATTGCTTAGAGAACAAGAGATTATGATAATAGCTGTCCTTTTTTCTTATGCCTAAGACCTAAACATCTTTGTAAGCTACTTAGTGTGCGTGGGTTTTAGGCAATTTTGTGAATATAGTGTCTTAGGAAGGGGGAACCCTTTGTAATATCATTGCCACTCAGGGAAATGCCAGTTATTACTTCTTTTCAGAAAGATCAGGGGAAAAATGGGCAAGAAAAGTTCTTATTATACGTAAAGGGAAAATATTTATTTCTTTTTTGTGACTGAAAATGTTTAGAATAGGCTTTGGCAGGTGGCTTTTTGATTTAGGGAGCTCTGGAGTACCTATCATCCATCAGTGGTTACCCTTATGAGTGTGCATTTTCCATAGTTCAGGATTTGTCACACTTCTTTAGAATGCTTTTTTTCTTTAATGAAAATGCTGTTTTAAGATGCCAACCAATGTAGGCCTTCTGTTTGAAGTATTTCCCACAGCTACAGCAGTTGCTTGTATGGAGATACAAGGAAAATAGCAAAGTCTGTGGTTTTTTAGTTGTCTTAATAGTGTTTAACAGGAAAAACAAGTTCAAGTGGCAGCATCCTGTGATCAGTCTGCTCTTTGTAGACCCCCATTATGTACTGTGGGGACCATCTGTCACTGAGAAACCAGGACTTGAAAAGTTACTCAGCTTTGATTCCTTGCGAGTCTGGGGGCACCGATCTCATTTGAAAGGAAAGAAAAATGGAAAGAAAAGACAAACCACAAATTACCCTCACTTTTGCTTATGTAAAAGCGACTGGAATAATTTGCAGTAGATGTTTGCAGAGATGCGTGGCCTGTGACCAATGCACAGGCATGTGGAGGAACTGGCCCTGTGGCACTGGGCTGAGTTTTTGGGAGCAGCAGCGTTGCAGAGCTCAGTGGCTGCTGCCTGTGGGCGAGAGGTGTCACGGAGCGTTCAGGTGTGACTCCAGCAGCTTCCAGGCTGAGGGCTGGGGTTGCCTGCTGCCTGCCTCTGTGGGGTCATTTGGGTGAACGGCTCTGACTTACTTCCTTAACAAAATGTGTTGTGTACAATAATTTTATGCCTAATATTTATTGTTTCTTTTACAGTAGGGTATCGGGATCTTGTTCACTCTGTTCTGGATGGCAAAACCCTTTCTTGCTTTGAACAATTTAAGAGACTGTGAATTTGAAACACAGAATTAATCTACCTTTTTATTTTGTGTTTTTGACAGCACTCTTAGTAGCAGATTAGTCTCTGAAGTCCTTTTAAAATACAAGTTACCATACTGGAACAATTTTAATGTTTAAGGTGATCTTGACCAGTGTTTGGATAAAAAACTGGAATGTTGCTCCAATTTGTGTCTGGTTCTTAGCTGCTCTATACTCTAATTTTCACTTTTCCTCTCCTTGAATTACTCTGAAGAAAGTAACTGTTTCTTGCTTTAGGTAAAATAAAGAATTCTGAATCAACAAAAGAACATACGTTGGAAGCGGATTATTTAGAAAACACTGGTGTTATTGATGAATCTAATCTGACAGTTGAACAGCAACTGGGATTGAAACAAGCTGAAGAACGTCTGGAAAGAGATTATATCTCCCGACTTGAAAAAGTAGGTTGGGTTATTTATCAGATAAAAAAGAAAATGTGTGTCCTCTTTCATTATCATCACCATACTTCTGGTTGGGTGGTATTTCTATTACAGCCTGCTGCCTCTGTTTCTTTTTTCTTAATAATGAGTCACTTTCTGATCTAAGGCAGTGTCTCCAGTAGTTGACTAGTTGTTTGTCCTGGCAGATGAGATGGATTAGAAACTTAGTGTTCCTTTTGTGGCATATGTAGCCTTTGCAGAACAGTATTTTTTAAATTTTCTAGATACGGAGGTTTACAATTCCAGTATTTAAATAAGATTTTATCGTACAAGATTTAAGTCTGGTTCTCTGGAAACTCAGAATGAAGGACTAAAAAGAACCTTGAGCTTTCTTTAGTGTCTCTCACCAGTCCCAGTTGCTATATTAGAGATGACTGCTTAAAAATGTTCACCTAAATTGTTCTCAATATTAGCTCTAGTGAAACAAATGTTGAAGTCAGTGTAGGTAACCCAGAAGATTTTCTTAATATCTAATGGAAGTATTTTAATCTCTCATATGTTGTCCTAGGAAAATAACCAAAAGTTTATTGCTTCTTTTTCACACCATTCTGCACATGGGAAAATCATTCCCATTCCTGCAGTCAGACTTTCTTTAGGCTCTCTTTGTTCATTGGTCTTGAGGGTTTTTAGTTCCTGGTTCATTCTTGTTGCTTTTCTCTAGACACCCATTGTGTAAGCAGTGTTCAAAATTGGACATGCAATTTCAGCTGAAGTCTTACATATAAAGAAGAAAGCTGACTTCATCTTTCTGAAATGTGGTATTTTTGTTTAGGATCTCTGCTTTTTTAGTAGCAGTAGGATGTTGGCTTAATGTTGGAGCAGCAATGATTCCCATGGCCTTTCCTTAAGAATTGGTCTGTCAGGTGTTCCCAGCCCTGTATGGTTTGCAGTTGGTAATACCTAATGAATGATACTTTGCTGTGGTATTATTTAGTTGGAGGTTATTTATTCAATTTCTTCAACTTTTTGTGATATCTGAATTTTTCTCATTTTACATTTTCTGCATCCTCTTCCAAGTCAATATCTTTTACATTTATAGTCAGCACACTTTCTGCTGCATTTCCTACCTCTTCAACAAAAGTGTGGGTATTTCTGCCCCCACAAGGACCCTTGCTGAAGAACATGGCACATACTTCTTGAACATGGCACATAGTTCTAGGTACGAGCGCTCTGAGGACAGTTCTCTCAGCAGTTTTGCTCCCACCTTACTGTTCTTTATTTAGATACTATTTATGGTCTCCTTCTGAGACTGATACTATGACAAGTGATAAAGACTGTAAGATTCAAATACAACGTCTGCTGCTGCTTCTTCAAGAGCTATGACTGATCTTTAAAAAAGCAACCCTAAGATTGGGTTAGTGCAATTGTTTGTAGCAGATCAGGTTGTCACCTCTGACCTGTTTTTTCCCTATGTGCTTATTAAAAATTTATTACAGTATTTTTCTGAATGCTAATTCCGACTGGTGTCTAATTCCTTGGTTCATCTTATTTAGCCTTTTAAAGTTATTCTTAAATTTCTCTTTCCTGATGATCTGGAACCTTCCCATTCTCTGTGAGTACCTTAAAATACAGCTGTCTCTTTTATAGATTAGCTTCTTGAGTGTCCAAGGACAAATTTCACGAGATCTGGCTTATTTGGGTGCATCTGTCTTACACAGGTAGTAGTCTGTAACTTTTCTGTCTTGTTAATTTGAGGTTTTGCCCTTTTCATTGGAGTTAAACACAATTAGATGATTTTAAAAGTCTTTGCAATAAAGGCAAAATAGAAGTCACTACACAATTTAGCCTTCCTGGCAACATCTGTTAGCATAATACTGCAGACCACTGTTGTAAAGAAATACAAATTTTTTCAAAAATACTTTTACTGCTGATAGTCACTTTATTATAAAGGAATAGTAAAATATTTTTTTATCTACTTCAGTCATCAGGCATTAAATACTTGAATCTTGCCATGTCGCCATGTGTAACTGTCTGTAAGTTGTTTTCCAAATGGATGTTTCATTTCATCTTACTAGGTACCTGTCTTAGTGAAAATAGAATTTAAAAAAATTGGTAATTAAAGCAATGTTTTAAATTTATATTTACTCTGTAGTTGGAGAGTATCAGACTGGATTTTTTTTCCAAAAACAAAAGGTCAAACTCAGTAAGCAGTGAGTGGAAAAACTTGCCCAAATTTAACAGTGGTTAATAGGTCTTCATATAGTAAGTCAAATTTGTTTAACTGATCTGTGATCCACCTCAGTGTCTTAAAATGGTTTTCATTCATTGTTAGGTCACTGTTTAAACATCTGGTGCTTTCAGTATACTTTTTGGGTTTAGTAAATATAGATTCAGAATTGGGACAAAAATTTTAAAGTATTTTCCAGTTATTGAAAAAAACTAATAGATATGGAGAAAAACTAAAGTGGTTTCTTTTGAACCCTTTTGTCTCTGAAGTGAGCTTTTCAAAAGGTTTCCCATCTCTGTAGCTGTTACCTGTTATAGCAAGAAGATTGCAGGATGAGACATAAATTGGAGTATTTTGGAACAGCTCTCTTTGCAGAGTCCTTTCTGCCTTTGAGTCCAGGAGGTCTTAATGATTTTCTGGCTGAATAAACTCCATGGTATCCCCTCATGGACTCTGGGAAAACAGGTTCCCTTCTTCCCCATCATCTCTGGATGTTTGGCTGCTTCTTGCACGCTTGGGGCTCTCCCAGCTGGCCACTCTCCATTTGTGTACTCCCATCTCTGCCAGCCTGTGTACCAAAAGGTGCTTGTTCTGCCAGTGTCTCCAACTCTGAGCATTCCAGAGCATCCATCAGGGTGCAAAGGCATCAGCCCTTGCTGGAGGATCCCACCTTGGCTGAGCACAGTGGTGGGAAGTGGCTGTGTTCCCGGCTGCCCAGGCACACCCTTTCTGGCAGGGCAGAGAGCACCGTGTGACACAGCAGCGGAGCAGGGCACGGCTGGGCTGCTGCCATTTCCTCATCAGGGAAAGGCGGGGACATGCTGCCGTTTAGCCAGTAATTAAAAGCCTCACCTGACAGGGGAATGGCTTACTGGTCTTTAGGTCAGCCTTAAGAAGCATAAACTCTTCAGCCTTAATCTTACCTCACTAAATTTACTGAGAAATGTAATATTTGAGTCATCTCACTTCCTTCCCTCATTCTCCCCTCTTGTCATACAGGTAAAAATCCATTTCTGCTTGTTTTTTGAAGATTGCTTAACGTTTGCAAAGCACCTTTACATTGAAAGTGTTACATAATAGTTAAATACAGTTTATTAATCAAAGAATTGAGTTTTTCAGGCACTACTGGTAGAAATATTTGTTTTAATATATGGCAATTTTTCCTCAGCGCTCCCCAGAATACACCAACTGTCAGTATCTATGCAAGCTCTGCTTAGTCCACATTGAAAATATCCAGGGAGCCCACAAGCATATTAAGGAAAAACGTCATAAGAAAAATATAATGGTAAGTTAACAAAATTATGGCTCTTTTTCTTTCTTATACTCTTCCATTTTTTTACTTTATTTTTGAAATCAAAATTTTTTTGTTGTTTGGTTTGTTTTCTTTGACCATGTTCATTTAGGTGAAAGATTGTGTGCTGAGCAGAGATGCACAAGTTTCTGTTTCCTGTTTAAGGGGAAGGGCTTGATGATTTGTCCAGGCAGAGAGGAAAGGACAGTTTTGGTCATTGCTTCTGAATTAGTGTCTCTGAGTAGCGAGCAGTTCATCCTACTTTTAGTAAGAAAATGATGAGAATGGTGAGAAATATATATTACACAAAAATGGATTCAGTTTTTCTGTTCTCTGAAAATAATGCCACTGGTAGCAAGACCTCCAGGGACTGGAAGTGGGGTTGGGGATGTTGTTTATGTTTTTGTTTTTTTTACTTTGGCTGACTTGTTTAGTTTAGAAGAAGTTTAGAAGAGTTACAAGAGGGAAGGATTCAGTTCATTCATCATCACCCTGGGTTTATTAATGTACTTAATACAAAAACAGTTCTAAGGCTTACAAAGAGAAAACCAGTTTCCTTATCAGATACCATGGTGCTATGGTTTGCTCTAAAGAGCTGTTACATGTAAGAAATCCAATAAAAGTTGCACAGATTTTCTTGCCAGCCCATTTTTGTAAATGCTGATGAAGAGTTACAGATTACCCATTACATTGGATTTTGTGATTTAGATGGTTAAAATTACTCTTTCTAGAACCATTCCCCAAAATTCAGTCAAATTACTTTCGCATGTTTCCATGGATTTCTTGCCATACTTCTGTTTTTCATTATTGCTCTAATTCTAAGTCTTGTGCAAGTCATCACCTGGAAGACTCCAAATGCCATAAATCCAGTAAATCTCAGAAAGTAACATTTTTACATTATGGTCAGTGATTATTTGTAAAGGATTCTGGTTATCTCACTGTCTCCTAAATTGCATCATGCTTAAAAAAACGAGCCAGCCCTATGATTGATCTATAAATGCTTCCTTACCATGCTTTTCATCTGGGCATGAAGATGAGAACTGAGCAGTTCTAAAGAGGTTTCTTTAGCACTGAATGGAATTGTGGAGGACAGGGAGTTTCATTTTTTAACACTTACCCCAGGTAGCTTTATGTGCAGCATCATGGTGATATCTATATAACTGACTTAAATGTTGCTGCATAAAATGCTCCTGTTTACAGCTCTGTGAGATACCTGACAATCAAATAGGCTCAGCAACAGCTGTGGTTCCCCAACTCAAGAAAAATCCTAACATGGTGACATAAAAAAAAATCCCATACTACTTTAAAAATGCTCATATTCTTTCTTACATTTAATTTGTTCAGATAAGAACAGAAGAGTTGAGAGATGCAGCCTAGAACTAAAGAAACATTTTCATACTGTACTGTGTTTTCTTAGTGCATATTTATTTTATAGTTATTATTTATTTCAGTTATATCTTTCATGTTGTTGTTGAATTCATGGAACAAGGAGTTGTACTTAGTCCCAAATGACTTGATGCATCTGATGTGTTCTTGCTGTTGGATTGGGTGCACTAAATGCAGTACTTTCTGGAACCAGCTGTTTTAGCAGTAATGGGACTCAACTTATAAAATTTCCTTGGAGCTAGGAATACTTTTTCTGCGTCTGATAACTTTTCTTCAAGTACAATCCACTCTGAAAAAAATCTATGTGACTTTTCCAGCTCAGTTACTTTTATGATGTAGGAACAATTACAGCTTTTTATTTTCTTGGATGAATTCTGCTTCAGAACTGTCAGAAAATGTGGTTCAGGAAAGGAATACAGAAGATTCCCTCTCCAGTTGCCAGCTGTGAAATGACATTTTCTGCTTTAAACACTGAGCCTCTGCTCCCATTCCTGGGACCACACTATTGTATTTGCCAGTTAGGCCAGGCAGAGTTCCTCCCTTTGGAAGTGTTGGTCAGGACACAAACAGCATGTTCCAATATAGCAGTAAGAGATAGCCTTTCTTCTTAAAATACCAGTTTTTAATTACATCATCCACCAATTATTCAGGAAAAGCAAGAAGAAAACGAGCTGCGGGCGCTCCCGCCGCCCTCGTCTGCACAGTTGGCTGCTCTGAGTTTCACTCTCATCGAGGCAGCAAATGAACAAGGCATCTCAGATGAGGACTTCAGAATTCGGCAAGAGATTGTAAATGAGATGGAGAAAATCATTCAACAGCCCTTACCAGGTATTCATAATATTCTCAATTTGCTTTAGGTGAAAATTTTTCATTATTTGTATGTATATTTTTGATACCTTCATCAATGGTGAATGAGTGCATTTGGGGTTAAATTATCTTGGTAGTGTACAATATTAACATAGTCAGGCTTTTCAATACAGGCTGGCAGTTGATTTTTAAAGGATTAACAAATATACAAAAAGAAGAAAATATGATTGTGCTTCCTTGTCCTTCTTTCAGATGTGTTTATTGATCCTCTTTAAAGTGGTGAGATAAGATAACAAGAAGGATAATATTTGACATTTGCTTTTTTGCATTGATTTCCCATCAGCTCCTGTAGTTAATGCACTGGGAGTTTGAAATCAGATTTTGGAGCTAGAGTGATGTTGACTTCGTGCTAACAGTGGTTTGGTGTTCAGTGCATCTGAACAGAAGAAAATACTAATCTCATTGCCAAAAAAAAGTTGGAAATTTTTAATTTCATCTACGTTGGAATCAGGTGTTGTTCTCTACCATCCATTTATTTTATAAATACCTTTTTTTTCCCCTTTGCTCTATAAACATAGAGCTGTAAGAAAGATTTTGGTATGTGCAGGATGATTATCTTTGGTTTTAGATGCTCTATGAAGTATCTGCTTAAACAAAAGGTGCTGAATAGAACAGGGATTTGTAGGGTGGAGGTTTTGGTAATCTGTCTGTTCTCTAGTAAGTGGCTCCTAGTGCAAACTTCTGTTCTGGCACTCTAGGGAGTTTTTCACTTATAGTGGGAAGCATAAGACAAAGCTTTTTCACATAACATTTTTTACATAAATGCTCAGGAAAACTATTGTTACTTTGTCTGGCTGACTTGTTTGGGCTGATGAGCTTCTGTGGAGATGTAGGAGTAGTGGAAGGGGAATCTGTAATAGTAAATGACAGTTTGTTATTCTCCTTTTCAAAGCCCAGCTATGTTCTAGTAAATGTGTTTTCCTAAGTTGTAAATTGAGAAAAATTTAATTCATGTGCTGTGTAGAAAACATCTGATCTTCTGGCATGATTTTCTCTTGAGCTCACATTAGAACTATGCAAAAATTCTTACTACTATGATAAGCCATTGGAAGAAATTGCAAATTATTTTTATTAACCATACATACTTTAGTTCTGAGAGGGCTGGTTTCTAAGCAGTGAAAATAGGCTTGAAGCTGTGTATGTGCAAGATCTATTTTCTCTTTTGAGAGTGGTTTAGTTGATGTTTCTGATTGAATGAGTTTGGTCAGAACAAACATAAAGGAAGATACACGAGAAAAATCCTCTTTGCTGTGAGGGTGGTTGGGCACTGGCACAGGTTGACTGAAGAGGTTGTGGTCCCTCCATCCGTGCAGATTTTCAAAACCCAACTGGACACAGTCTGGGCAACCTGCTCTAGATGACCCTGCATGAGCAGGGTGTTGGATTTGGGAAGGATTGAGAACTCTCATTTTTCAGCTGATTTAAGTATGGGAGACCCTAGCTTCTATTACAGCAAAGTTTTCATCTGCAAAAATTTAATAATGAATTGGGATAAATGATTGTTTATGGAATAGCATTTCTCATATTATTGCTGAGTAGGTATTTCCTAGTTAGTTTAGATCTGTTCTGCATCTTTGCAGGTAACTGCGTTAATTAAAACACTGAATGGACACTGTACTCTGTCCCTTGGATTGTACTGAAGTTATGTTTATATACATACATATTTTGTGGAACTGTGTGTTGGAACTTGCTGATGGAATCAACAGATTGGTGCCTCATACAGAAGTCTGTGAGGCATCAAAGAATTTTGTAACTGGCTAAGAGCTGCAGTGAAATCAAGCTGTAGTTAACAAAAGCTGTTACATAAAATCCTACGTTGAGATGGTGACAGTTATTGTTACTGCATATTTAATTTTATATTAAAAACAAACAGAACAATTGCAAAAAATCTTTAAAGCAGCTTGGAAAATGTTGGACATTTGGTGGTTACAGTATTTGAATTATTTGTTTGCCTGTGATGCTGTGTTATGGAAGTGTCTACCCCTCACAAGAGTGAGAAAGGGGTTCAATGTTTATTAATCTGGGAGTGCCACTTGTGAGGTGCAGTATCTGAAGCAAGGTATGCATCATCCACTAAAGAAAAGATTATTTACATATTAACTGTTATTATTTACATATTAACTGTCAAATAATTATGCTTCTCTCTCTCTCCAGACTGTTCCCTGAGGATGTATGGCTCCTGTTTAACTAGATTTGCTTTTAAGACCAGTGATGTTAACATTGATATCAAATTCCCCCCTAAGGTGTGTAGATATTATCTTATATTAATTAAGACTGGTTTTTAAATCATGCCTATCCACATTTATTTCTATTCCATTGCATTCATCTTCTTTTGGGGCACATGGTGTTAGAAGAGCACAAAGTATCTAATCTTTGACTTGATGTCATCTGTGCTGTGCTGGAAGTTTTCATTGCCCTTTAGATAACTTTAATTCTTGGGTGGTTTTTGTTTTATTTTGTTTGGACAACCTTATGCTAGGCTTTTTCTAATTTTTTTTGAGTAAGCACTGAAGCAGCATGAAAATAGTTGGCTTGGCTAAGTGTGCTTCCATGAGCTCAGGATTCAGACTGTAAACTCTTGTAGGTTTTGATTCCCCCCCCCACTTCTAAAATTTGGGGTAAAAGTGACATTCCTTAGATAAGGAAATTGTTGGTTCATGTTTACTGATATTAGCAGCACATTCTTGATAGACACTCAACTGCTGCACTTGCATGTGTTTCAAAATGATAACCTTTAAAAACTCCTGGGAAAGTCCTGACTTAAAATTCTTTATTGCTGTCTATTTCATTGACAATGAAACTGTTGAATATATGGCAAGTGCTTTTATTTGTCCTGTTAATGCAGAGCTAGAACAGAAGTGTTCACTAGAGCTGTAGGCTAAAGGAAGGCTGGCTGTGAGGTTTACTGGCACCTGTTTTCATGGTGTAGACAGGTACAGTCAATTTATTCATACTGACAAATGATTTCACTTTGTTGAGGAACACAGAGTTACTAGTTGTGCAACCCAAGTAGTTTGAAACAAAATGTAAAATAAAATATTAGTCTCAATAATGTGACCTGCTCTAATTTTGTCATTGTAGATGAGTCAGCCAGATGTTCTGATCCAGGTGCTTGAGATCTTGAAGAACAGTGGTGAGTTTTAGTTGCATCTCATTTCTATTTAGCATTCCATCTGCTGCTTAGTTGTTTTTATGTTTAAATTTTCTGTGAACCTAGAAAACTTGGTGGGTTTTCAGCCAAAGTATCTGGGCTGTTTTCATGAATGTGGTTTTTTTTGAACACCAGTGTTTATGTGAATGAGAGATGAGAAGCTGGAGCAGAGAGTGCTCCAGTTCAAGTTGCTAGAAGTTGTGGCAGTAATGTCAGATGCCAGAGTAAAAAGGTTTAACCTTTTGTAGGATTAATTATAAGCAATCAACTCAAAAGCTGCTTTCCACTTGCATATGTATGTGAGTGAGAGCTGTTCCAAGACTTCCAAAACTTGTAGCCTCATGGTTCTGTCAGGAGCACAGCCTGGCTATCTGGTACTGGTGGTGAGCATCAAAAGTAACCAGCAAATATTGGTACTGCTTAGCTATGCAGCACTTAATTTGAGTTGTTCTGAAAAATCATGGCATAAATGTAATAATTTTAAAGACAGAATTGGGAAAACTGTAAGAAACTTTGAAACAAAGTGTGTTTTTTCTCCTTCATTGCTTAGCTGTCTACTCAGATGTGGAGTCGGATTTCCATGCCAAAGTTCCTGTTGTCTTTTGCAAAGATGTTAAAAGGTATGTGTGACTGAAAGAAGTTTTTAATGAGCTACTATGCTTGTTCATAGTAGTTGCCTGCCTGCACTCCTGACAAGAAGTATTACTGTAACATTCAGCTAACATTTGTATTAAAAGAGAATTGCTCATACACAGAAATGTAATTTAGAAAGAAATCTACTTTGGGGCTATACAGAACTCACTGGGTGTTGGAATCTGACATTATCTTTTAGTTAACTGGGGGAAAAGTGGAGTGGTTTTCAGTTATTTAAATTTTTTGCCAGCAGTTTTAAGCCAAGGCTTTAAAAACATTTATAAGATAGACATTGCCAGAAAGGACACATCATCTGACAGTTTCAGTAAATTCCTAAGAAGTAGCAACCTCCAAAATGAAACATGATTTCTTAACTGGCCAGAGGTATGGACTGAAACTCTGGGGAAGTAAATGCAACAAGAGTGGGCTTGGCTTTTCCTGTGTTTGTAACAGAATAGCAGTAATTGTTCTGAAAAGCTAAAGGAAAGTTTTTAGAGAAGCTGTTTTGTGGGTTTACCTTAGTGTAACTCTTAATGTGCAGCAGGTCTGGAGTATTAATTAATTTGTTTAAGTGTTTAGAATGTAGACAGTATACTTGGCAATTGAATTGTGCAAGATAATGTAATTAAGTAATGGCAGAACTTAAGAGCAAATTCTTAATGCTGTTTTGTATTTTTCACTGTAGTGAACTGTAAGTTCTAGATGCAGTCAATAAGCTAATAGTAGAGAAAATGTAAATATATTCTGTAGCTTTTTGTTAAAAAATTCAGGTTCTTACATAGGGAGACATTGATGGATGTTTTTATTACAGGGGGTGTGATGCCCCACCTGTCCCTGGCCCATCTGTACCACAAAGTGATAACCCTTTATCTGTTCTGCATTTGTGATTGCAGTGGTTTGACATGCAAAGTAAGTGCTAGGAATGACGTGGCTTGCCTTACAACTGACCTGCTGGCTGCACTTGGTAAACTGGAGCCTGTCCTGATTCCCTTGGTTTTGGCTTTCCGCTACTGGGCAAGAGTAAGTTATTTAATTATCCTCAATACTTCTTTTTAAGCACTGTGTACAATGTACTAGATGTACATATAGTGTTGACTGAAATTCTAGATGGCAGCATAAATATGTCCCACAATCACAAAATGTGGTGAAACTGAAAAGAATAATATATGATGAGATAGTATTTCTTAATTCACTGTATGAATTGCTGGTTTTTATTCTGTCTGTACGTGACATAGCGTGACCACTGCAATTTCTGAGATACAGCATTTTGTATTTCACTCTAGTATGTTTCTCACATTTCTTTAGTATTTGTCTTTTTGTAATAGATTGTAAACTAAAATTCTGGTGTTACATGGGAAAAGTAATTATTTCTTCTCTTACAGCTCTGTCACATTGACTGTCAGGCTGAAGGTGGAATTCCCTCATATTCCTTTGCCTTAATGGTGATATTTTTTCTTCAGCAAAGAAAACCACGTATTTTACCGTCCTATTTGGGCAATTGGGTAAGTGGTTTGGTAATATAGTAACTTCATTATTAAATTGTTGGCATTATTTCTGTGTTCTGCAGCCTCATAAAAATGCAGAATTTGATTGCCAAAGAAAATGATAAATAAAGTGCATTGGTACTTCATGCTCACACAGATGATGCTTGATGATTCTGAAGACTTTTTTAAAAGGCACTTGTAGCAGGCTGTATAGTTGTGTCATCTGTGTTTTGGAGAAAAGGCAATTATTTTCTTCTTTATTTCTCTGAATTTCTGTCTCTGACATCTGTTAATCTTGAGGGGTATGAATACCACAGTAGTCAGTGTTACATTTGCTGAAAACTGTTGGTTGTATGTATTATATGCAGTCTTGTTTCAGACCCACTTTAATTGTTGTTAGATTGAAGGCTTTGATTCAAAGAGGCCAGATGACCACCAGCTGAAAGGGGTGGAAGATGAAGAATTTGTAAGGTGGGAGTACAAACCACCCACAAATGGTGCAGCAAAAAACTCTGTTGGAGCAGAAAGCAAAGCTAAAGTTGAACAACAGAAAGGTGGTGGCAAGAAGGCAACAAGCTCAGAAGTGGACAACCAAAGCAATGTGAAAGAGAAACATGGAATTGTAAGTCTTGACTTAATTTAATTGAAAAACATTTGCTCTTATCCCTATATTTTTTATTTTCAAACATAGATGTTGGATGGAATCACGACAAAAAAAGGGGAATATTAATTTCTTATTGCAGTTGAGCACTTGTGTCCATGTTTTTCAGTCTCTCTTAGCATTCAAAACCCCTCACCAAGTTTCACTGGGGCAACTGTGGTTGGAACTTTTGAAGTTTTACACACTGGAGTTTGCTTTGGAGGAATATGTCATCAGCATACGGGTACAAGAGCTCTTAACCAGAGAGAATAAAAACTGGCCTAAGAGGCGAATAGCCATTGAAGGTAGGCTGATCCCTTCCCACTTCTGTAGTCATCCTGCTTTAGCATCTGCATTTGCTTAACTTGCAAATCTGTTACAAGAATCTGGACAATAAGTCTCTTGAATATATATTTTGTCAGCTATTTAGTCTCTTTAAACACAAGTTTTCTCTGTCTAAAAAGCAGGGAAAGTCACTGAGTTGCAGAGCGATGTGTGGCATTCTGAATTGACTTTAAGAATAGAGAAATTGGGTATTTGAGGAAGGCTAAGAAACCATGTAAGGTGATATTTTTATAAAAGCATGAATAATGACTTTTGAACACTTTCTAGAGATGTTGCTGAAGTGGCTTATCTGTAACACTTGAGGCGATGGAGAGGACAAAGAGAATCATACAGACAGAGAATGAGGTACAGAGGTACTTTGAAGGATGAGTCAATAAGGTACAAGAAGAGTGAGAAGGAAAGTAGAACAGATAAACAAGCAATAAATTCTTGAGGCACAGGTTGAGTAGTGGATGTTGAGATCATTCCTGTGACTTTTAATTTCCTCTCCCAATTCTTTTCTTCAATCACTTTTAGCTAGAGTGTAGAAAAAGTAAGGAAGTGTTTATTCAACATGTGGGATATAAGGTGGCAGGACAAATCATTGAGGAAGAAATGAGAAATAATTTCAAAAAACCAACTTGTATTCTGGTTCTGACACCTGCTGTTATTGGGCTAATTGTGTTGTTTGCTTTATGTTTTTTTACTTCTCCTTTTTGCCTTTTTTTTTTCCCAATGTTGAGTTTGTAGCTGATGTTATGAAGTAACAGAATCTCAGTTTGGTACTATCTTCCAGGCAAACTTATAGCAACTATGCAGGAGCTCTTTTTGCTTGGAAAACATGTTTGATCTAGAAATCATTAGGAAGGACTAAGAATGGATCCTGGTGAGATTGGTTCATACAATCCTTACATCCTTAATGTTACTCGTAGACAAATGAATTTCTTATGGGAAATGAAAGTCTTTATTCAGTGGACGAAAAAAAGATTCTGCCTGGCATCTATTTATTTTGCCTTTGTATGTTTATTAGAATTTTTAGTTTAGAAATTGGCCATGATATAATGGTGCAATATACCCATGGTTTTCTTTTTGAGTAACACTGTTTAGAATTGTTTTTGATAGTCAGCCATTCATGGATGCACATGGGTATGTTTTGTTTGGAAGAATTCTGAAAAAAATTGTGGGTCTTTCATTCTCTATGTATATCCATATACAATTCTGAATTATAATATAAGAATCTTCTTAACTGCCCTGTAATAACTTAGGGATTTCAGCTGCTTTGTGAAATGTAGAAGTTAAAGATTACTAATTAAATTGTTCTTTTTCTTCCCAGATCCTTTTGCACTAAAGAGGAATGTTGCACGAAGTCTAAATAGCCAGATGGTATTTGAGTACATCCTGGAGCGATTTAGGACAGCATATAAATATTTTGCATGTCCACAAAGTAAAGATGGCATTAAATCCAAGCCAGATACCAAGAAAAAAGAAAAAGGGAAAACGAATAATAAGAAATCCACACGATCTGAAGAGCCTGTAGCAAACTGTTGCCTTCCACAAGGGGAAAATGTAGATAAAGAAGTTACAGGAAGTGGATGTAACATACCAGAGAATGAAGTTGAATGTAATAAAGTGGTAGAAGCTGTAGCCAAAAGATGTACCTCCCAGGACATGGACCCTTTGCTACTTTCAACATTGGACTCTAGCTATGATGAAGACAAAGAAGAAGCTTTACCCCTTATTTCCAATGAATGCTGTGAATTAAAGGAAAAATCACCTAAAGAGAGGGATGATTTTGAAATTTCAGTGTGTCTAACTGAGGGTGAGCTCAGCCACCACTGTAACTGCAGTGCGCATCAGCCTGATGACACCAATTCCAGTAATGAGTTTTCTGATGCTGAAAGCAGGCAGAGTTTGGTCCCGGAGTCGTCTCCGCAGACGAAGTGCACTGGCACCCCAGCTACCTCGGCCAGCTGCAAAGCAGGGCTGGAAACACAGGATCTCAAAGAGGAAGGCAGGCTCTCAACAGAAGAAATGCATTATGTGTTTGATAAGTTTATTTTTACGTCAGGAAAGGTAAGCAGTGCTGGTCATGGATCACTGGGCTGGTACTTTGAAGTCATTAAATCTAAGAGTGGAAAGATGGTGGGGTTCCCACAGGGGTTGTTTCAGTCTGGGGTATGGGTGGGAGCCTTTGTAGAGTACCTGTTATTCAGGACAGGAAGCATCATCCTGTGTGACGTTTGCATTAAATGGTCTGTTTCTCTCATCTTGAGCTTTTTTATTTCCACACAAAAAATCTGGGTTTCTTTCTGGTTATTTGTGGGTTATTTCTGCCTTCCCTTGCCTACTTTCTTGTAGAATTTCCAGGTGTTTTGAGAGTTGTGGGAACTAAATGCAGCTTGTTGAGAGGTGTTGTGCTCTTTGTAGAGGCTCTGTTATTGTTCATATGTCAAATGTTCTTGGTTGCTTGGAAGTGTTAGGTCTGCTGAACTGTCTTAAGTGTCTTAAGTACACAAATAGAATTTTCCTTTTTTTTCCCCCTAAAAAGCCACCAACTATAGTATGCAGCATCTGCAAACGGGATGGACATTCCAAAAATGATTGCCCAGAGGATTTCAAGAAAATTGATCTAAAACCACTACCACCAATGACAGACAGATTTCGGGAAATACTTGATATAGTGTGTAAAAGATGTTTTGGTAAGTTCAGAAAGTGTTTGTACTCCACTATATTCTGTGATCTGTAACCTGGAAGAATTATAAACTCTAGGGTTAAATTACTTATTTACAATTATTCACAATTCAGTAGAAGAAGCTCTTCCAGGTGCCCTAGGCTACAAATGGATCAGTATTTTAATTTTCAGATAATCCATGGCTGAGATAACTTATAACAGATTTGAGAAGCTGATGTTATATGGGATTTTTCAACTGGTTTGTAAAAAGCTACTGGTGTTCCCAGGGGCAGAACTAATTTTTGTGCTTATCAAATTCTATGGCATCTTTTGAGGGTGCTGTCATGAGTTAACCTTGGCTGGATGCCAGATGCCCACCCGGACACTTTGTGGTTGAAAAATTGGATGTCTTGAAATAAAATCTGGAAGACTCTAATCATATAAAAAGAAAACCACAGATTTAAGCAAAGCAAGCACAACAAAAAAACCCCATCCAATCTTTTAATTACCTGAAAAAGATTCTTGAGGTGCTGAATGTCATGTCTGACTGTGTTTTAATTTGCTTTTACTTAGATGAATTATCCCCTCCTTTATCTGAGCAACAAAACAGAGAACAAATACTGGCAAGTTTGGAGAGATTTATTCGAAAAGAATATAATGGTATGTAACCTTAGGTAGTGATTCTTGAGAATGTGTTCTGGACAACATGACTGAAAAAGCAAAGATGTGGTTTGTCTCATTTTATTTTCCTTGCTTGCAGCAAGCAGGGGCATCTCTTTTCCTTCCATTTGCAAAGCTGTCTTGCAGACTTCAACATTGAACATCCCTTCATGCTATTCCATGGAAATGTCCCTAGAGTGGAGGAAGAGCTGCCAGAGTAGTAATGCAAGCACAGGACTGCTCCAGTCAGGCCAAGAAGAAAGTTTGGCTTGGTTTAGTGTTAGCTTTGGTCATGGGCCAGGGACTTTTGTTGCCTAGTCACCAGTGCTTGAGTATCTTAAACTCATCAGGATTTCTACCTTCACATCCCTTACATAAAGCAAGCAAAAGTGTCTTACTACAGGGATGGAAGTCAAGGCACAGAGATGCCAAGTGATTTTTTTATAGGAGGTGCAAAACAGTGCTAGGGCCAGGTACCAAACCCAGGTCTCCTGAATTCCAGTCCATGGAAGCCATTCTGCTGTAGCTGACCTGTGATCAAGGAGCTGGGAATTCTGTCCACTGGCTGTGCCTCCACTTACTGGCAGCAGCTGAGGATTGAGACCCGTTACAAAGCCTTGAAAGACTTAAAGTTTCCAGTTCTATTAAAGTTTAGGAAAAAAAGCTGTGAATAGGTGTTAGATCTATTTTCTTAGCATTCATTTCAGTTGAACAGATCAATGTATTCTTTGCAGTTAGGAAAGAATTTGTTTTAACAACATGATTTTGCCATCCAAGAATGAAAATACTTAGTAATATCGTGTTTCAAACAAAAATGTAAACAAAGCAATTGGGAAAGAATGTTTCATAAAGTATTGTAATCTTACTGCTTATGTCTTCTTGAAGAATATATTACAATTACAAAAACTCATTGACCAAATTTACCTAGTCATAGGAGAAATATGCAACCTAGATAACTCTGAATGGAACCAGAAATATTACTTTTGCTACCCTGGGAGTAGCTCTATCTTATCTGTGGGGTAAAGCTGTACTGGTGACTGGGTTTGCACATTATTTTGATTTATTAAAAGCAGGAAAGTGCAGTTGCATACCACAAAACATTGCACCACGTTTAGAGATGCCATTTAATGATGATAGTAACTGTAATGTACTTCAGTCATAAAAAAATACATAAAATAAATTTTTATCCTGCCTTGCTTTCTGTAAGTAATGTCTGAAGTGTTGTACTTCGTCCTTTATCAAAGCTGAGGTCTTTGAAGTGACAGTGTAAGCTCTCTCTTTAAGCTCAATTTTTTGGGCACATTGCAGTTAAGCAATATTTCATACTAAGCACTTACCATTCAATTGTAAAAGAAATTACCTTTTTCTTGTCTTTTCTTTTGATCAGACAAAGCTAGGCTTTGCTTATTTGGCTCCTCAAAGAATGGATTTGGATTTCGGGACAGTGATCTAGATATCTGCATGACATTGGAAGGTCATGAAAATGCAGAGGTAAGAGTTTTGAAATGGATAAAATCTGCTCTTTCAAATTCAAGGATTCTTTAAGGTTTTTTAATTCAGTTAAGATTTCTGTACACAGGAAAGGTAGGATTTGCTAGTTGCACATTGGCTTGTTGCACTTTGCACAACTGAAGCAAGAGCCAGCCTATTTTATTTTAATACCTTATTGACACACAGTGTACTGTAGATGTCCACACAGAGCATATGAGTTTGTGTAAATTAATGTGCTGGCTTAATGCTTGCTCCTTTTTGTACATAGACTTTTCATCCATGAATTATATGTGATAGTAAATGTGCTTGTTGGAATAGGATCCATGTTTTAACATCTGAAGCTGTGATCTTTGTTTTTCCTAGAAATTAAACTGCAAAGAAATAATAGAAGGTTTGGCAAAAGTTCTTAAGAAACATCCAGGTAGGTGCTTTAAATTATTATTTGTTTTGCAGTTAGATTTTCTATAAATGTTGTTAATGGAAATGTTTTATGTACTAGAGTGTTGCTTCCCCAGGTTTGAGGAACATCTTGCCTATAACAACAGCCAAAGTGCCTATAGTGAAGTTTGAGCACAGGCGGAGTGGCTTGGAAGGAGATATCAGTTTGTACAATACACTGGTGAGCATCTGCTTGTGTCCTTCTGTGTCCAAAGAAAGCTTTTAGTTCTTTCTATCTTACCCAAATAACCATTTGAGGGAATAATTTTGAAACTAGAATTAAAGTGCTTTGTTGTGTTTGTGTTTTTCTTCTATATTATTTAAATTCAGTGGCCCACACCCTCAGCCTGACATGGGTCCCTGTGTGTGACCTGATGGCAAAGCAGGGTACAGCACAGAAAGTCTTGTTTTGGGGATACTTCTGAAAAGCCACTACATCCACTGTGGCCTGTGTGCCATCATGAATAGTGCAGCTCATTCCAGCTTTCACCTGACACTGTGAAATTGTGCAATTTCTTACATAATTGGCTCACCCTGACACCAGTTTAATTTTTTTCCCTTTTTCCAGGCACAGCATAACACAAGGATGCTGGCTACCTACGCAGCTATTGATCCTAGGGTGCAATATCTGGGCTACACAATGAAAGTTTTTGCAAAGGTAATATAAAAAGAAGGTACTGATTTGTACAATACAGTGTTTTCTGCTGCAGCCACTGAGTTTGCCTTTTGCCACTACCAACTGGAATGGAGGCAGTAGAATGCTGTTGATATGAAATGCACTTTCTTAAGGTTACTGTGCTCCATCAGACTGTGTGTATCAAAATCAAATCCTGTACCTTCTGCTGTCGGAAGATTTCTGTGTAAGAGAAAGCTGATGAGAGGAAAACTTTCCTTTTTTGCTTCAATTTCAAACCAGCTTCAGTTGTAACAAACAAAAACCCCCACCCAATCTGTGCTCCATCAGACTGTGTGTATCAAAATCAAATCCTGTACCTTCTGCTGTCTGTTGGAAGATTTCTGTGTAAGAGAAAGCTGATAAGAGGAAAACTTTCCTTTTTTTCTTCAATTTCAAACCAGCTTCAATTATAACCAACAAAAACCCCCACCCAAACAAAACTGGAAAAATTGGTAACTCTAAGATGTAGGGGCATGTGGATGTGCATGGGCTTCCCAAGTTTCCATATCTGGCACCAGCCCAGAGATTACTGCTGCTTTCTTCTGGCATGCTTGCCTTGTTTGACTTAATATAAAAGTCAGGAACAGGTAGGTATGGGGTGATGAATGAATGCCTGAGTCTCAGTGTGCCTAGGACATAGACTTGACTTTAAGAATTTGGAAATGTCAGATTTCCTGCATCTTTTGTTATGATATTCTATCAAAATTTTATATTATACAGCCTTTGGTAATTGAAACGTGGCATTGCTTTTTATTCAAGCTGCAGTATTAAACACAGTATATCCAAAGAAAGCTTAGTGGAACTGGGGCAAATAAAAAATGGCTTATAGAGATGGTGAATCATGCTACCAGATGTTCATGTAATAAAATACCTCAAGATGAATAAAATAACTTTGTGCCAGAATGGAATGGACACATTCATTATACTGTCACTGAGACTAGCAATGACTTTTTTCTTAATGTGGTCACAGTAGTGCACAATATTGCCATGTCTCTTCTGTGTCCAGATTAAAAATGCCTTGTATTGATAATAAGAATGAATCTTACTCTTTTTTTTGTAGCATTGCATTCTGTTGTGCATGTTCTAAAAATACTACTGCAAAGATGAAACATTCAAGTTGTGGGATATACACTCCTGAATGTAAATGTATGGAAGTGACTTCGTAGCTATACAAATACTCTGGTTTTAAGCAAAATGCCTCCTCCTCTGCTTGCATTGGCAGAAAACTCAGGAACAGCTGTCAGTGCTGCTGCTAATGTGAAAGTAATTTACAAATCCCTGTTTTTTCCAGCCCTAGGAGGTTAAAAATGCATTGTTTGATGTGACACAGGCTCAAAACACAGGATAGCTTAGAGGCAGGTGCTGTGGAAGGGTTATACTGTAATGAGATACTCAAGCATAGTAAGGTAATTCACTGGTCAGAGTCACAGCAAGGCTTGGGTTGGAAGGGACCTTGAGCTCATCTGGCTCCAACTCCCTGACTTGGTCAGGGCTGTTTGTTTTGCACTGTGTTGTGCAGGCTGCACCATGGTTTAATTAGGTATGTGTATGTTTGCTAGCAAAATGCCACATGTGGTCTGCACTGCCAGTACAACCTGGAAATCCTTGCTGTTAATGAATTATTTCTTTAAAAGGGGAGAGGGAGCCAAAATATTAAGGAATCATAGAAACAGCTCTTGCAGCATGAGTTAAGGAAAATTAAATTTAACGGTATTGAAACCTGGCATTTATGTTTTGGGAATTTTACTTTGGGGTTTTTTTTCAGTTTGGCACATTATAAAATTTTTTAAAGTATTTTGGCTATGAAAAGCTTTTCTGTTTTTATGTTAGACAAATTATGCTATGGATTTGCCAGATGGCAGTTGACTCTTGGGTGTATTTATTTTTCAGGCTTCATAAAACAATTTTTAATTATGAGGTGAATGTATTTGCTGTTACTTATGGGGTTTTTGTTTGCTCTCTGACATAGTTGTTAGTCTTGAACAGTAAAATGTGTATTCAGCATTTTGTTTAAAATGTGTTTTTTCAGCGCTGCGATATTGGTGACGCATCCCGTGGTAGTCTGTCTTCGTATGCCTATATTCTTATGGTTTTGTACTTTCTACAGCAGAGAAATCCACCAGTTATTCCAGTTCTTCAGGAGGTAGGTTCAGAAAATGAGGTTATGAAAATAGATGCACTTTTTCTTCAAGCCAAATATGAGAAGTCTGGGATTTTAGGATCAGAGGGGATAAATGAAATATGAGACCCTTCTAATCAGCAGGTTCTTAACTCCCTCTTGGTTTTAGTAGGTAAAACTGACCAAGAAAATTAGATCAAACCTGGGAGTCTGTTGTGCCTAAGTTCTGCTATTACATTTACTTTGGGATTTTGGTCTTATGATGATATTTATATGATGAACAGGATAGAAAAAAATTGGCAGGTGGTATGGAGAGAAGGGAATTGTAATTATGAGCCTGCACCAGATGCTCTTGAAATGTGAGTCCACTTCTTCAACCAGTTATTGTCAGCAATAAATAATGCTCAACACTTTATCTGTAAGAGAAGAAGTTTATTTTATTATTTGATATGGGGAAAATAAGATAATTTATGCTTTGGTGCAACTTAAAATAAATATTTTATGTGTTCCAGGAAACTTTATTTAGAAAATAATGTTCTGCACCCCCATTGTATGGGAGGGGAGAGTATAATTATTCAGCTATCTGCCTCTTCCTGGATACACCCTGGAACTCCCAAGCATGTCTGAAAATTATCCCTTTCTGCCTCTTTAGGTTTCTTTTGCAAGAGGGAATTTGGCTTAAGCATTGCAGTTGAGACTCATAGACTTTCTTGCTGATACTTTAGTATCTGATACTTTAGTAGTGGTTGGGGGTTTTTATTTTACTGCTACCCTGAGAGTGCATTTAAATAACAGTGGAATTTCCTCTTGGCTGTGCTAAAGTCAAAATGTAATAGAAGTCATATAAAGTCTCCTTAGAGAATCTGTGGGCAAGAGAGACGTTGGAATCTTGACAAGGTAGTTCTTAGTTGAAAAGAACAAGTAAAAATTAAACATCCAAATAATTTGAGAGGTACAGCAACAATGCAAAAAGTCCTTCAAACTTTTTACAGAATGGGAAATTCTGTCTGTATAAGAAGTAATTGTTAAAATTAAAGTATTTATATTTTTATATTATTTTTTTACCAAAAGAACTGCAAGTATTTTACAGCAACTTTGAATTAGAGCAGTAACTGTCACTCTCTGTTCTGGCAGATATTTGATGGCAAACAGATTCCACAAAGAATGGTAGATGGATGGAATGCTTTTTTCTTTGATGACATGGAAGAATTGGTAATATTCTAATTCCAGAAGACTAAGTAAAATTTAAATCTTGCTTTTCAGGAAAAGTAATAAATTTTTAACAGTGTAATATATAAAATATTAATTTTATTAATTAATTAAACTTCCATATCCATAGTGTTGCAACTTCCCAAATGGGTCCTATTTTGCTAAAATGACTTTCTGCTTTTGCTTGGTTTATTTTAGGTGATTTCGAAATAACATAAAGCAGGAAAAATATTTTTTATTCTTAAAATAAGTCCAGGCTTAGTCTTAACTGTAGTGATTTAACATTACTATAACTAAAATAAACTATTTGTAGTAGACAAACTTGTAATTAAAGAGGCATTTCAGGAGAAGCAGTGCTGCAGTAACTGCAGCTGAATAACTTGTCTTCACCTGCGTGCAGAAGAAGCGCCTGCCTTCCCTCGGGAAGAACACGGAATCCCTGGGCGAGCTGTGGCTGGGGCTGCTGCGCTTCTACACGGAGGAGTTTGACTTCAAGGAGTACGTGATCAGCATCCGGCAGAAGAAGCTCTTGACCACCTTCGAGAAGCAGTGGACGTCCAAGTGCATTGCCATTGAAGGTACTCTGCTGAACTGAGGGGCCAGTCGTGAGCAGGAACTGACTCTGTTGCTTGAGAGGCTGTTGTCTGTGCACAGGATCTTTGTGTGAGGAAACCACAGTCATTGTTTCAAAAAGAAACATTGTTAGCAAGTCCTGCTCGCAAAATTGATGACTCATAACTTTTACTAAATGTCAGTGAATTGTTCTTCTTACTGTTATTATGGTTGACTAACATAACAGTTTTAAAACTCTCAGCATTGCTTTGCTATAATCTACTCTGCAAATGCATTTAAAATGGAATTCTCTGCATTAAAATAAAAAATTCTGTTGCAGCAAATTTTTTCCAACTCTGATTTTTTTTATCTCCCTTCTTTGTGCAGATCCTTTTGACTTGAATCACAATCTGGGTGCTGGAGTCTCTAGGAAAAGTAAGCTCTTAATGTCTTCTGATGATGAATGTTCACTGAATTGTGCCTTTTCTGTTGTTTTCCAATAACTTTGTCTTTCTCCAATAGTGACCAATTTCATAATGAAGGCATTTATCAATGGGAGAAAATTATTTGGTACCCCATTCTACCCAGCTGTTGGAAGAGAAGCTGTAAGTTCTCTGAGTTTTTAGTGTGTTTTTTTCAGTTTCTCTGTCCACTGAATTGCTGCAAATCTCTTGCATGTATTTATCCATTTCATATGCACAATATGTGTAACTGTACTTTGTCTGCATTAAATGTAAAGCTTAGTTTTTAGCTCCTGGAATATAAAACTTAGAGGAGTAGTTGGGTGGGTGATGGGTATTACTGGCAGGTTTGGGGAAAGTAAGCTTAATTTGTGTTTTGTTTTTTATAAAACCTCCCACTGTATGATGTATTGCAGAAAACTGCAAATCTGGCTGTAAAACCCAGAAACAGCTCTAGGAATCTTCCTGGCTCTTCATGTAGCTAAAGAAAACAGATCCATCTCCATCCAGGAGATGTTCCATTCTGTTTCGTTTTCCACTTGGTGGAGATAGTAAGGATTGCTGCTTAAACAAAGAAAAGGATGATGATTGATTTTTTTTAACAAGTTGCCCTTTAAAATTTGCGTAGTGAGTCAGGGTTAGGAATGTGTTCATGCAATATCATTTTGGAGAAAGTACTGTGTAGAGGGTCCAGTCATTGATGTGTAGAGAAAACTTTTTTTTTTACTATGAGCAAATAAAATACTGTAATTAGTATTGTAAAGATCAACTTAGAAAGGCATTTTCTAAAACAGTTTAGAGGACTGTTCTCCCAGTGGATTTTAACAGAACTTGAGTTTCTAAAGGATCTTTAAAGTCTTTTGAACGTTTTTAATTCCCTTCATCCTTCCCTATCTTCTCTTTTCCACTTGCTTGCTTTATCTGTGGTTTTTTTCTGAGTTTATACCTCTGTTTCAGTACTTTCACAATATTTGTTGCTCAGAGGCTGTAAACTGGGCCTTTGTGCTGACACACATCAAAACTGCAGCTGTCCTGAGCAAATTCCAGGGGAGGGGAGTGATACAGGTCAGTCTGCAGATGCTCCATCTGTTTCCCACCTGAGCTGTGTGCTGTCTGAAGGGATGTAATCTGTCATCTGGGAAGGGACATTGGCTGCTTTGGAAAGGACACAAGCAGTGACTCAGACACCAAAATAGATTATATGCAAAAAAATTGCTTTCTGAAGAGCCTTTGGGGAGGTGAAAGGTGGGCAGCAGGCTGGAGCCTGGTAAGCTGTTTTGCAAATTCAGTCTCTGTCCCTAAGACCAAATAGCCCTTTTTAGCCCAAACTGCTCCATATCTCTGAAAAAGCTGCCATTATCTAGGAGAAGAAGAGGACCTGGTATAACCTCAAAAGAAGTAACACTCAGGAGGCAATAGAGATGAAAGCTGTCAGTTTGACTTTCATTCCTTAGTCTTGTAAGTGAATGGTTTATATGTTTTATCTGTCTGATGTGTTTTGATAGGAATACTTTTTTGACTCAAAAGTGCTGACAGATGGGGAATTGGCACCCAATGACAGATGTTGTCGTGTCTGTGGAAAAATTGGTCACTACATGAAAGACTGTCCAAAGAGGAGGAGGTAAGTAAAGCTATTGTGAAATCTTTGAGATTAAATTATGAGGGATTTGGATATTTGAAGATTTAATGGAAATGAAAAATTGGTCAATTGCAGAGGAAATCAAAGCTTCATATCTGATCCTCAACTTCCCATCTTATTTTTTCTTTTTTTAAAACAGTTTCTGATCACCTCTTTAAATCTGAAGTGTTTATGGAAGCACACAGAGTAATATCAGCATTCTATGGTGTGTTAATATGTAGTTAAGCTTAACTTAAAACTTAGATCACTAAAATATCCTTTTTGTAGTGTAAACATTCAGATGGAGAGCATATTACCTGGCTGCAAATCTTATCATGTATTAAATAGATTTCCTGTAGTGGTCATGTTCAGAGGGCAGTGTTGAATTTGAATTGTTCCGTCGATCTGATAACATACATCTACAAGGTAGGTCAAAGTTCATTTAGTAAACTCTAGGATTAATTAAAATGTACATAGGTGAGGTGCATTTCTGTAACATCATATTAGTGCCATGATGTTACAGGATCACCATATCACTTGGTGATCTTGCACTTGTACGTTAATTTCTCTGAGGAATTTTGGGTCCAGGACTCTGAAAAAGGAGTCCTTGGTACATGCAGGTCAATGTTTCCAAGAGAGTTTAATAGGAATTGACAGAAAATGTGCAGTCCTCATTTTTTACAGCTTTGGCTATTTAATGACCCACTCAGCCTAGGTTGTCTGACTCCTCCTAAAACCTATAGAAGCCCTTAGAATGTAAATTAATCTGGGCTCTTTCATGTGCTCCTTATATTCAGTTTTGTGCTCCATAATTCTTCAAAGGATTCTTGCTCTCTTCGTGCTACAAAATCTTTATTTGCAGCCTTTTGTTCAGTCAGCAGTGTTCAAGATACATGAAAGTGCACTGGAACCCTGTGGTCACAGGTGGACTATTTCTTTCAGGTGCTCTCTGTACTACAAGCACATGGAATTCCATTACCTCTTTCCCTATATCTGCCTCAGGAAAAGTTGTGTTCTGCTCTTCACACAAACTGCTACTACAGCACAGCCACACAGAATCTCTCTCAGATTGTATATACAGTTCACATAATAATATTATTATTTAACAATCCTGCAGATACCTTGTGGAAAAAGACCTTCACTTCTTGTCTTGGTTCTGATCACGAGTTCTCCTGCTGTTTTAGAACTGAGTGTTTGAAAGAGACTCAGTGCTTTGTTGCACATGTCTGACAATGACAGAGAAATGTGCCCTGTCCAGTGAGGGGCAGATTGGATGAAGGAGGTGCAGCTCACTTGTTTTGGGTATATTCTGACTCAGTGGGATTGCTGCATAGAGCTGCTCCCCAGCTCCTGGCAGGCTAAGCCTGCTCAACTGCAAGCATAGTTCTGCCCTAATACAGTCAGACAGCTTTTGGACAAGCCTGGGGAGCTTCTAACTTCATTAAGTGTATACAGGCTGTTAACCTGCCCAGATTCTGAAAGTGTTATTTGGGATTCCTGAGATATTTGTATTCTGATACAGCTGTTGGTTATGTAACCATTCCCAGTACAACAGCTCTACAGAGATTATGTGTGTGTGTGTCTTTGTGATAATTGCTAATAAAAATTATTGTTCAGGTTGAAGAAAAAGGAGAACGAGAAAGATGATGAAAAAGAGGTGAAAGAAGAAGACAGAGAAACAAGAGAGAAAAGGTGTTTCATCTGTGGGGATGTGGGTCATGTTAGGAGAGATTGTCCTGAATTCAAACAAACCCGTCAGAGAAATAATAGTGTGCCAGGTAAGTTAGTTTATGTGTTAGGATAATTTCAAAGCTCTGAGGTCCCTTTTCTCTAGGTTTCTGTAAAGACTTGATAATTATCTTGAAAAAATAATCCTGCAAGTAATGTTTCAATCACTGAAAATACAGCTTTTAGTCTGTGTTGCTTTTCTGAAAGGGGAGTCTCCAGAAGTAGAGTCTTTGTATGGGTGGTAAAAATGTACTCAGCAGTAAAATACAGTGTACTTCAGAGTATTGCATTATTTGTCTTCTACTCACAATTGGTGCATTTCAAAGTAGTAATAGTAATAATAGTAACAATAGTAAGAATAATAATAATAATTGAATGCATTTCCTCTTCCTAATGTTTCTCAAATGTTAGCTAACCCTCCATCAGCTCTGAGAGGTAAGTAAATGTATTTTCAGCAAAAATCAGCACTCTTTCAGTAACACTTCAGAAAAAGCATACAGATGAATTAAGCTAAATCCAGCTTTCAAATTACTGATCGTACTTAGAAAAGATTAATTGCAAACTCATTCAAATTAGGCTCTTGGGTGCCTGTGGTAGTTGAAAAAATAGAGGAAGCATTCATAAGTGAACTTCAGAACAACCATGCTTCTGTGTTCTGTTATCCTTTAGTCTTTTTTTTAGCTTACTTTCTTTGCCCAGAAGTTTCTGCTGTCACTATTGCTATTTAAAATGCCACTGCTTAGAGCAGTAATATGGAAACCTATATAAAGCAGAGCTCCAGCCTGATGGCAGTGTGAGCCTTGTTCCTGCTAGACTTTGTTTTATTAAAAAATAGACTTTGTGTTTAGCTCCTACACCTGTTAAAGTTATCTACTGCCAGTAGAGGGAAAAGTTCCACTTAAGAGGAGAGGTGAAAGTGATTTACCTCCTCTGTGTCACATGGCAGTTAAGGTATTGCTGACTGCCAGTTCTGCTCATTATTCCACCACCCTGTGGGTTTATTAACACTTGTGTTCCTTGATCAGGCACGCAGCTGGTCCGGAGCATGGTCAATTCCCAGCTGGTGGCTGTGGGCCAGCAGCAGGTGGAGCGACCCCTGCGCACCAGGCAGTCATCAGAATGTGTAAGTTCTGGGAGGGGAATGCAGGGAGCAAAGCTGCAGCAAACCAGCCATGCTGGGAACAGGTTTGCATGCTTTTTCTCAACAGATTCTGGACTTGGTCATGACAGCGTTGCGCTGTGCCAGTTAGCGGAGCTTTGATTTATGGTGTATTGTGTCTTGGGGAGCATTTATGGTTTTGCAGTATGGAAACCTCATAGTCAAGTCTGAGATGAGATACCTTGTGATTTTGAAAGGGCAGATTAAGCTAGGGTGCCTTTCAAATTCTCATTGTTCTGGCAGTGTTCTGGAGGTACTAAGGGAGATGAAGCATAGCTCATTGTTAACATCCTGGAGACTTAGGTTAGTGACAACCATGACTTTTTGTGGTTTGAGAGATCTGTCTTAAGGGACTGTCATGTACAGACACAGCACACAGCTGAGTCATACTTCAATGAAAAGTCTGCCAGAGCACACTAGAAGCACAAGCAGAACAATAGAGAAATTTTTGACAGTTTTGTCCTAGAATTTTTTCAAGTCTCCATAGAGCTACATAAAATATGTTTGATCTTCTGAGTGGAGATGGGGAGCAGAGGGTATTTGTGCAAATACAACTGCTGGTATTTAATATTTTTGGAGCAGACAGTACAGCAGAAATTAATTTATTTTAAGCTCTTAGTCTGAGAAGTATGTGCCTGCTAATGAAGCTGGCAAGTAAGTAAATATGATAATCAAGGCTGCTGATCACTAATGCTCTTTGTTTAGTTTGCTACTTTGCTAACTGATCAGCAAGCATTTATTGGAATGCTGGCTCCAGTAATGGAGATTTTATGACTTACAGTGTGCTGCTGTAGGGAGGGACTGATACAGCCCTAATCCAAGTGTAGGGCTGAACATGCCACAGGAGTATATTTTTTAGGAGCCTTATATTTCTGCGTGGACTGAAGCTGGATGTGTGGGTGCACTCAGAGGCAGACGCATCGCGTGCACATTCTTGTGTCACCTGAATGTCATGGACTCTGTGTGTTGCATGGTTGTCATTTGGCCAGGATTTCTTGGTGAATATGTTCTGTCCAGGAGCTGGTGGAGAAGAATGGGAAGAGGGAATATTGGTGGAGTAAGAGGGAGAGAGTGGGAAGGAGATCGAGAGGCTGGAGTGTATTATGCCTCCTGTCCTGCTGCTGGCACATTCAGTGCATGCTTGTGTTGGGTTAATATTTGCAGGAATGTTTGTAGCCAGTGCATGTGCTTTATTTTTATAACATTTAAAGTGTTAAACTAGTGATCACCTTTCAAATCCCAGGTTTTACCTTCTCTTCCTGGTTTGGTAGAAAGGTATAGGAAGCACTCATACAGGCACAGTTGGAATAGCAGCAGGGAGCATTCCCAGCTTCTGGGCTCCAGCTTTTGCCCAGGCCCAGGCACACAGCATGCTGCTGGAGGGGATGCTCTGGCATGGGCAGTCCTGCAGACACCTCTGGTTATTGGAGACAAGTGACTACCAGTTTAAATGGACAGGTGAGCAGTCAGGGATAGTGACAAGCTGGAGAGACCTTTAACTCCAGGTGCTCAACAGCAGCTGAGGCTCTTGGAGCTTGGCTGGCTGCTGTAGTCTGTGGAGAGAGGAGTCGGTCTCGAATGAGATCTGAGATTCAGGTTCTCCTCTCTGGGTTAGGTACCTGTCTCATTTGAATGTCTCTGGAGGCACTTATTCCATCAGCAACTTGTCTCAGTGCTTGAAACCAGACTGGGGAATCCAGATACTGGCATTAAGTATTGGCACATAAACTGAGCAGCTCTTTTCCCAGCCACTCCATTTCTTAAAGTGCTTCACTGTTCAGTTGCAATTCCAAACAGATAAAATAGCCTCATGCCTGTTTCTGTTGCTGGTGAAAGAGAAAGCTTGGTAAGAGCTCTGCAAAGGCTGTAATAATGGCTATTACTGTGCCTTTAGCCATGGCCTAACACCAGGATCTGAAGGTTGAAACTGGGTTTTTGGAATTTGCATTTCTTGTTCAACAGATTTTTTAAAATAAAAGAAATATTAATAACTTACTTTGGAATTACTTAAAAAACTGTGTAGTAATAAGAACCACTCTCTTTAGAAGTAAGGCAATTAGTTAATGAGATACTGGGCTGTACATAAGCAGGGGAGGAAAGACACTGATTGAAGATCAGAAACAAGTGTTTCAGGAGTCTAATGAAGAGCTTGGGACTAATATTCACTCAGAATGGTGTTTCTGATGGTGGGATGTGCCACATTAACAGACCAGATTATCTGTTGGTGAAAGTCAGTGTCAGTTGAACTGCACTTACTGAAACCAACAGGAATTTGGGTTCAGTGCTTGGGGTGTTGCTGGGGAATGCTTTGCTGTTTTATAAATAGTCTAACACAGTGGGTGCTTATTAAAGAAAACACCATTAAATAGCCAGTGAACTAATCAGAAATACATACTTTTTTTTTCCCTCCAGTCTGATTCGCATCAGTCATCTTACTCTCCACAACCTCAGCAATTCCCACAGAATTCCTCTCAGCCAGCCTCCATTAACCAGACTCAGCCACAATCAATATCCCAGTCTAAGCACGTTCCTCAGCCACAGCAGGGTGCACAGCCACCCCATCAGGTCCAGCTGCCTTTGTTTAACTTTCCCCAATCTCCCCCAGGTCAGTATTCCACCTTGCATAACCTGGGATTACTTCAGATGCACCATCACCACCAAATTCAGCTTCCCAACACTTCTTGGCCTATTCATGGGCCTGTTATTCACTCTGCACCGGGTAACCCTCCTCATTCTACAAATGTTCCATTTTCTGTGAGATCTGGCAGCAGCAGCACCACAAATAACCAGAGCAGTGTAAGCTTGAATGATCCCAGTATCATCTTTGCACAGCCTGCTGCCAGGCCCATGGGAATCCCCAGCACTTCTCATGAGGGACACTGGCACAATCCTGTGACTCCAAACTCACTGGTGAACAATGGCACTGTGGGAAATTCAGGTAACTCTTCTCTGTTGTATCAAACCTCTCGCACTTTGTGTACAAGTGTTCAGTGTTACAGGAACAGCTAACTCTTTCAGCTTATTTCATAAAAATATGATGCTTAAGAAACCACATCATGACTTTCACCTGTCTTAACATTTTTCTAGGAAAAAAAATTAGAATTGATCACCGTAACTTTTAGGCATTGGTCCTGTCTGCCATTAATGGCTGTGCAACAGTGAGAAATCCTGCATTCAACTGAGAAACCTGCTCATCATTGTTTGAATCATTCACATTTCTGTGAATGCACTGACAAATAATGGATTCCTTAGACAATTATGGAAACATTAAGGTTGGGAAAGACCTCTAAGATCAACACATTATTACATAATTTATTAAGGCAAATGCTGAGGCTGCAACCATGAACTTAGAGATTGCAGAATTACAGTTGTGCAAGTTGAATATTGTCTCCTCACCTTTAGTACAATATAATATTATCTTACCTATTCTGTTTTATCCTGTGGCTTGTTCTGCCATGTTTAACTTCCATAATCTTGATGTTGATTCCTGACATTACATTTTCCTGTTACAAGTGGGCAACAGCCTCATAGCAAAGCCAAGTACATTGGTATATCTGAGGCTGAGAAAAAAGCAGTATATAATGATTAAAGCCCATTCAGTTTTCTCTGCAGCATGAACTGTGGCAGCCCCTAAAATTTAACTATTAACCTTTACATCATTAATCATGGTGGTGGTCTTCTGATTTATTCTGAGTGTGTAAGTCCTCCTATGTTTAAAAAAAAAAAGCGTAATATAATGTACTGGTGCAGTTGTTCATCCTAAGATGAAAATTCTGAAACTCCTGCCTAGCCTTTCTCTGTACTAATAATGTGGTTGTCAGTAACAGTAGATTTTCAGCTGAGTCTACTGTTTTGAATGAGGAATAATTCACCAGTGGGCTTCAAACATATGTTAAGATGCTGGACATACATGATTTTCTATTTAAAGCTTTGTGGGGAATATATTCTAAAGGATACAGGAACTTCTACCCATGTGTTTTCTGTGTCTCTAGTGTGCTCTGTCCCTGCCTCTCCTTTTTGGATCTTCTCATCTGTCCCCTTCTCCAGCTTTGTCTTTCCCTCAAGCAGCTCCTTCCAATCCACATGTCCTTACTAAGTAGCTGCCTTCTTTCAGACAAGCGTCATAAATTGTAAATCCTTCTCCATGTGCTGTCAGTCACAGTATTTTTTTCCCATTCCTCATCTTCCATCAATTTCCAACCTTGTCATACGCCTTCTCCTAGTTCCCAATCATAGTAATTTTCTTCTTTGAAATTGAATCAGTTTTATTTCCTTTTTGGCTTAGATGCCATTAAAGTGAATGCACAGTAGAGGTGAGCTGTCTCCTGTCTGTTTGAAGCACGGGACAATTTGACAACAGTAAGTTTGAGGAAACTTTGTCCTGGCTCACGTAACCTTGACTTGAAAGGAGCTACTTTAATTTTCCTTTCAGTAGACAACTGATCAGAAGTATGATCATTGGAAGTATCAAGACAGACAACTCTTTTTCATGCATACTCCAGAGCTGTGCCTCATGTTGTGGGTCCTGCCTCCTTGGATGCTTGATTTCTCATCCTGAATGTTGCAGTGATATCAGAATTGTAAATAGAGTAGCTTTACAATTTGTATATTTATTTCCAAAGTTTATATTTTTCTCTCTAAAAATATTTTTTTAAGTTAGTCCAGTGATCTAGATAGCAAGTTTCTTAAGCATGTAAGTATTAGTGGAATTCCAGTGTACATCTGAGAGTTATTTCTTGCAGTAGGATAATAGCTTTCATGTCACAGTTTGTCAGTGGTAGTGGATATTTGTGTGGGATCAGACAGTAGTTCTGAACATTGTTCAGAATGTATTTTTCATCATGAGAAAATAATAAAAATAGTAAAATCATAGCTCTTGATTTTAATGTTGATTCATCGTCTCTCTTCCCAATAATTATATTATAGTGAATAATGAAGTAATTTAGGTGGTAATTTTTACTGATGTATATTAAAAAAAAAAGTAGCACATCAGACTGATCACATTAAGTCCCCTGCAAACTGTTTTTTAAGATGTAAATTGTATTTGTGACTTACTGTTTAATTATTTCAACTTGCAATGTGCTTTTCCCTTTCAATTGAAAAATAGATCAGGGTTTCCAAGGACAGTTTGGTAAAATGAACCCTCCTTCTGTCCCTTGGGACCATGGGACCCCTACCCATTTTCCTCTCCTCCGAGGAGCGTGGCCTTACAATATGCCTCAGAACTACATGCAGCAGGGAAATGCCAGCTACCCACCGAACAAACCTTTCTACCCTCAAGGTACTAGAACCAGTATGTGAATCAACAGCTCGTGCACCATGTCTGTACTGTCTCAAAGGCTTTAAAAGCCAAGCAATCATGTGTCACTCCTAGGTTCCCTGGAAACATAACAAATCCCAGAGTCAAATCAGCACTTCAGCTTCCTCTGTGGATGAATTAAAATCTTTGTGGGAGGGAAGGATTAAAATGAAATCCTGAAATCTGAGCCAGTGTGCAGCCTGTTGCACTTCCAGCCTCTTTTTCTTTGCTGATGCTGGCTCACCTAGAGCTGCCTCTGCTTCAGTAGAGGTTAAGGTGATTGGCCCATGAGCGTGTTCAGAATATGAAGAAATTTTTGTTGTAATTCATTTTATTTGGCTTTTGTACCTTGCTTTGTGGAATGACTTACATAGATAAAAACTTACAAGACCATAGAATAATTGAGGTTGGAAGGGGCCTCAGGAGGTTTAGTCCAGCCCATGCACAGTCAGAGCAGCATTGACTGCAAAGTTAGGTCAGGTTCAGTTCATCAGGGAACTGGAAAGGATAGACTTGATTTCCACTCTGATGTTTATGAAAGATGAGGGTGTTCAGCATCTAGCAGGATGGGGAAAGGCTGTAGGAAAAAGACCTCCACTACCAGAGAAACAATGTTCAAATTTGACTTGGAGGATATGCAGCTTCCATGCTGTGGGGGGTCACCTGGTGTAAAATGAGAGAGATGGCCACCAAATCCTCTTTCAAAATCTAATCTATTGGCTCTAGCAGGGTTTCCAAGTGAAAACTGAATTTACTTAAAATTCTGAAATTACTTTTGTTAAATAACTGAAGTAATGCAACAAAATTATGTGTTTGTGATTGTTAGGGAATTTTAGAGATAGGATTAAAGTAATTCTACGTTGTCCCATTAAATGGGTTAGCTGTAGAGATAGCATTTTTTGTCAGTCTAGTAAATGGTTTTATTGCTAAGTTAGATCAGTACACTGAATATAGCCAAGCACTGTTAAATATGTGATTTGCTGAAGTAATTGTAATCCATTTTCTTTTAGCTGGTCCACTGATGCAGAGTAACCAGCGGTTCTCACTTCTGTCTCAAGGACACCCACACTTGAATCTGAATTACATTCAACAGAAAAAGTGAAATTGGATGGGATTGTGGGTGGGTGGGGGGAGGGGAGGAAGAAATTCAGGTTCTGATTTAAAATCTTAATGCAACATGTTTAGATACAAGATTATTTAAGACTGTTTTTAAACTGTATCATTTGTACATAGATATGAACTATAGTTTTTACTAGTATCACAAAACTGAGTGATACAAATTTCATCTATTTTATTACCCTATTTTTAAGGGGAATTGTGTTTTGTTTTATCTTGATAAACTGTAAAGAGAGAGAATTTTTAAAATTAAGTTCTTTATTTTCTATTAGCTGTATTCATACTTTGGTTGCTTCAGACTTTATATATATTGTTCTAAAAAAAATAAAATTAGAAGGGGATTTCATGTGTTTAAAAATTTGTCACTTCTATTCTTTACAGAACTATGTAGTGCCAAAAAACTTTTTAAAAAGAAAAATAAAACTGCAAAAAAAGGACATAAGATTTTTTCCTCTTCTCTATTTGTATGCATGCTCACTCTAACGGGACTAACAGAAATGGCTTTAATGTGGACATCTTGGAAAGCTGAGCAGTTTTAACAAGTGGTACAAGCACAAGACCTGCTTTTCTCCATGCTGGTGTTATTGCATGTGCTGTTCACAGCCCGTGTGTGTGTTATACTTGAAGGAAGAGCACACCTGCTTTTCTGTTTATCAGCTTTGCAAAATCATGTGCAAATACTGTGGAAAAATTAGGCTGTACTAGGAAGCAGTTTTAAATTCCCTAGGCACACTTGTGTTGTCAGCACTCCCAGGGCAACATGAGAATCTTGAAGCCCTAAATGCAGAGTTCAGGGATAAACCTGCCTGTCCTTGCTCCTGAAGAAAGGCCATGAATAAAGACATGGTACACAAGGGCTTAACACAACTGATTTCAAATATAATAGGAGGAGAATTATATCTTCAGTAAGAGCTTAATTATTCTAAATTTTAAAAACTAACTTGAGCTGAATATCATCATGGTGTCAAATTCATTTCCCAGTCACAGAGAGGCCACAAACCATGCTCAAAGTAGTGGTGTACTGTCTTTAAATATATTGCATTTCTTACTCCAGCATTAAGTAGTGCTTTATGCTACTTTAACCTTCTGAACTCTCTGATGGCATCACCAGAAGCAGCAGATTACACTGAAGGATAATTTTTACAAAGCACCCAATGACAACCACATGTTGGAGAGCACTGTCAAGTGAGCTTTTAATAAATACTGTCACTGGGTTGTGACAGCCTTGCTTCCTCTCCTGCACTGGAGCTCTGAGAGGCCAGGGCTGGGAGCCCTGCAGTGTTTGTGACTGAATACAGACTTCCTTTGGCACCTGACTGCAGGGTCAGTTTGACAAAACAAGGCCCTGATTTGAGAATGAAGCCAGCTTCAACCAGGGGACATCTCAACAAATTATTATGAAGGAAACAGCCAGGAGCCTTTAAAGACAAACCTTCCTTTTTTTATTGCTCTTCATTAAGTTTTTACAGGCTTCAAGAAAAACAATTAAAAAACAACCTTCGAATTCTATCACAAGGATGAGTAACTAACTACATAAAAAGTATCCTTAGCTTACCTTTAATAAAAAAATTCAAGAGAACAAAATGAGGATGATGAAAGAAAAGGACTGCTAAAGCAGCCAGTAGAGAGCCAGCTGTCCTGTGGAGCAAACAGGACAGCATTAGACTGCAGCTCAAGGTCCTTGAACAGTGGGCTGGGTTTTGTGTGTTACTCATTCCCTCGCCGACTCTTTTTGTGACTCTTCTTAGATCTGAAACAGAAAAAACAAAAAGTCAATGCTGTAATGTCTATCTTTTAATTCCCAAAGTGCACTTCAAAAATAAGCCAAGCCTTTACCTTTCAGGTGATTTGGAATGACTTCTGTGTCTGTGACTACGATGATGCCCTGTGGGATAAAAAGGCAGTAGTTATTTCCATTGCCAATGGAATTCTTTGTTGTTTTGCTAATGCTTCTAGTGACCAAGTGTGCTAGACATTGCCAGAACAACCCTAGCTTTAACCAGGCACTCACATTAACCTCCTGGCAAGTATCCGAAAACTTACTCAAGACAATTTTGCAGCCATTAAAGGAGTTCCCCAGCTCTGCTTTCATGTGAGCAGCAGTTTTATCAGCCAGATTTAACCCCTGTGCTACCACCTTGATATGGTGACAGATTTTTCTTGCAGTGGGTGTGCTGCTGATGAAGACTTGCCAGAGTTATTCTGGAAGTGGCAGAAGTACCTGGAGATTTAGATCTCGATCTGTGGCGCCTCTCCCGGGACCTGCTCCGGTGCCGTCTCGGGCTCTTGCTGCGATGCCGCTCCCGGCGCGGGGATGGGCTGAGGAAAGGCAGCTTCTAAGAGAGCTGTACTACAAGGGCACACTGCTCACTTAAATAACAGAATTAAAGAGTACCTTCTTCTCTTCGGAGAGCGGCTGCGCCTGCAATTGGGGGAGAAAAGCAAAAAATCACTAAAAATCATTAGTAAAACAGCCGTTTAATTTCCCACATCCTTCAGCAACAGCACCAGGGCTTTTACCTCCCATGAGTGTTTTTGGCCTGCTACACATGGACCATGCAGTAATCAAGAGTTTAGTGATGAATTTTTCCTAGTTTAGTATCAGTAAGAGCAATTAATAGGATTTTCTCTGCAGCCTCTGGCTTACATAAAAACAAAGCTCTTGGTTCTCCTTAACATCTTCACTGTATTGTCAAATTTAGCTGAAGTTGGCCAGCAAGTTCAGGAGTTAAGAGAATGACTGGAGAAACAGGCAGAGGGGTTGACAGTGGCTGTGCACTGCAACTCCTCACTGCAGGAAGTGCTGAAGGAACTGGGAGGTGTCAGAGTTCTGGATGCACTGCCACCTTCACTGCTGTGCTCCAGCTGCCTGCAGCACAACAGGTAAAACCAGAGGTGAAGGAAGAGTGCCCTCACCTCCTTGGGGAGCGGCTCCGGCTCCGGCGGTACCGCACCACCGGGGACCTGCGGGGCTTGTCCAGGTCCCTGTAGCCCCTTCTGCGGTGGTCAGGAGATGGGATCCGTTCCAGCTGTAGACAACGGGGGAACATCTGTAAGTTCTGTTTCAGCAAGGTTTTGTGCTATCAATAAAGACTTCTGAACAATGGATATTGTAAAATTCAGGCAGCCAAGCTTCCCCATTCCTGAGTATTTCTTATTCAGGAGTGAGTGGTGCTGTCCAAAACTGCCAACTGGAAATCAAACAACCACTTCTCGTAGTGTTGGTTCTCAAGAAGTACAGCAGCACTGACTGATGGCCACAGGTCCTTCCACCATCACCTTTAGTTCTCTCCATTACATATGCATATAAATCAATTGTTCTAAATAAGCTTAACACAGAGCAGATACAGATTTGTGGAATTCAAGAGACAGGAAAACATGGCAACCTGAGAGTTGCTTCAGGGTCCAAGTCCTCACAAGCTGCTTATAGAAAATACATTATGAAGGGAGGTAAGAGCTGCCAGCAGCCTCCTGGTGCCTGCCCTCAAATATTTGTCATAGGCCATGAAGTGTCCTAAAGGGGTTCAGCTTCAACTACTCCTTTCCAAAACAGCTCATCAAATAGTTCACCAACCTTTTCATCTTCTTCTTCCTCCTCCTCACTAGATTCTACATCATCCATGTCTTCCTCCAGAGCACTAACACGAGGCTCAAGTTGCTCAGCTTCTTCCAGAACATACCGTTTCTAGAAGAAATTGCAACTTCATTCCACATAACCCAGTAAGAACAAACACCTAAGGAGGCAACCATAGCTCACACAAGCCAGCAGCCAGTCCAGCTACTGGACTTGGTGCAGTCAGGAATTCCATAACCATCCACACTTCCAACCTGCAGTCGAGGCAGGATGATGTCACAAACACGTTCCTCATGGAGCAGCTCATCAATAAATTCATCCACGTGCATCAGCTCAAATTCTGGGGGTGAAAAATAGCATTTAAGAGAGTAAAATTAACACCGGAGACTGAAGTAAAGACGCAAACACTTCAGACAACTTATGTCAACAGGTTATGCCACAATTTTAAAGATTTATGTTGCTAAATAGACATAGGAGTGTTTACCCCCATTTCTGTTCTGACTTTTGATTTTCCGGTAGTCGTTGTAGAGCGGTTCCAGGTACTTGTAGCAGTCGATGGCAGTGCCCGTCAGTCTCATGTACAGTGCTCCAAGCATTCGGACATACCTGCAAAGGAAACCTTGCCATGGAGCTCAGCTTCCTGCACACTTAGCAGTTTGGATAAAAAAGTTTTTCCCTCAAGTTTCTGAGGAAAATCAGTACACAGGCCAGAATACACAACCATTTAGATTTGCTCCATCACTTCCTTAATACTATTAAAAACATAATACACTTTGTATACATAATATCTGTAAGGGTGCATTATCACTAACAAGATGGAAAAAGTACTGAAGAAAAAGTAGATTAACATGAATGCCTTAATGCAGCTCATTCCAAATACCTCAAGCAGAGGTTTATTACAACAGAGAGCACATGCCACAAAGATGAGCCCTTCCAACAGGCCAGCAAGGAGAGCAGTCTTAAAAGCAAGAAGAAAAGCTTGGTTTTGAGCAAGCCCAATTTGTCAGGGCATATTGAGAGCTAAACCCCGCACTGAGGTTTCCCTGGCTGGTTTGGGCACTTCCCCTCGGTACAACAACCTCAACAAGGGGAAAAAAAAAAAAACACCAAAAAACAAACACACTACAACTTACTTGAAGTCTTCGTTTTTTATGAACTCCACGATGATGTCCTTCTCGGGCTGGATCTGCAGCATCTTCAGCGTCAGGCACAAGAAGGGCGTGGGTTTAATGTTGCCTCCATAGACGCCCCCCACGTACTTCAGCTCCATGGCCTTGTCCACCACCAGCTCGGCTGCGAGAGGGACGGGCCGGGCCGTCAGCGCGGGCTCCCCCGGGCCCGGCCCGGCCCGGCCTCCCGCCCGCCATACCCGTGAGGCCGAAGCATTCCTCCTTCCAGTACTTGGACTCGTAGATGCGCGTGCGGATGATCTTCTCCACCAGGTACTGCGGGTTGGTGCCGTGGATGCTGTGCGCGTCCTTCACCGTGCGGTTGGCCATGGCTCAGCGCCGCTCCGAGCTCGCCCCGCCGGGCCCCGCTCCCGTCAGGGCCGCTTCCGCTTCCGCCTGCGGGGCGGAGCCGCCGCCGCCCTTTGGCGCGAAGTTCCATCGCGGCGCTGAGGGGACGCGGTGAGCGGGGCCGGGAGGGGCTCGGGGCACAAAGCGCTCCCGCTGCGGGCGGCGGGACGGGGTGCCCGGGGAGCCTGGGCACTCGCCCTCGCTAGAGATATCCCAGAATGGTCCGGACGCGGTCCTGTGCGGTGTCCCTGCTGGAGCGGGGAGATGGGAGCGGGTAGACTGCTGTGGTCTGTTCCAGCCTCACTGGCTGTGTGAGGCGATCGGGCCGGTCGGGGGCCGTGTGGGGGCTGAGTG